ACTGTGTACGTATCCTTCAAATGCATGTTTAACGCCTGAATATATGAATAGTATAAATATTTAATCCTACCTGGTAAAGCTGATATACATGGGAATTGCACGTTTAATGGATGTTATTTTTTGAATTTCTAATAATAATATGCAATAGTCAAATTTTGAGGGAGAAAAAGCCAAATAAGCCATTATTTCCTATAGACATCTTTTGAAAAAAATAATGGCTCCTGCACATTATATCAAATTAGTGCCCGCTCGGGGATAGGATAAGTACGTGGAAATCGTGACGACGTTAATTGAATTATACAGTGTACAGACGCGGCCTACGTTAGACTATTATAGACAGGAAACCCATTTGCACATACATGTTGAAAAAGGGTTCATCACTTCACCACTAACAGGCTTGAAATTATTGGCTCTGTCATGTTTAACAACCAGCCCCTCACTTACCAAAAGTTTAAAAGAACACACATGCGGTTGTCTTTTTTTAAAATCGAATACCATTACTCAAAATATAATATGCCTTCTGAAGTTTCTTTGTGATTTTTATTGCAATTCTGTGTTCATACATACATAATTCAAAAGCACCGATTACAAAAACCAATACATACGGTAGGCTATACGACAGCTGCACTGTTCCCAATGATCAAGACAAGGGGGCACAATAAAGGAATAAATTAACATGGAAATCACAACAGTAATTCTTATACGGACGTTAATTAATTAATTCATTTAAATTTATTTTTATTCATACTTTAATCTGATTATAAAATATGAGTTGTCCATGGATAAATGGTGGTGTATTCATTCACATTTTCGTAGGAAGATTATTACATAATTCCCTTCAAATATAAAGTCAGAAAGGTTAAAAGCTGTATGATGTGGGCATACGCAATACCATTATAACCTCGAATAAAGCCCTGGGCTTATTCTTTTTGCGAATTTTGGGTGGACTTTTCGAGGCTACTTTTGCAAAGTAAAGAGGGTGGGGGTGCTTATTTTCAAAATGAATGCTGTAAATTTTAGAAACGACTACTAAATATACTAAATATGGTCACTGTAACATCAGTCTGCATCATGCAGTTATTAACCTGCATCAAATCACCTAAACTTCCGTATAAACCAAGCGTGTTTTGAATATATTTTGTTTTTTGAAATTCATGTACAATGTAAGTTCTCGAAAAAAAGCCAAGCTATCTTGAACAGAAGCCCATGGGATTCTTTTCGAGACGGGCCTCTTTTTGACACTACTTTTGCAAACTAAAGAGAGGACTTCAATTCGAGATGGGCTTATTCTCATTTGGAGATTGGCCCATTGGGCTTCTATTCGAGGTTTTACGGTATTTATGTCGTCATTAAACGAACAAAGTGACTTGACATATTAGTATCGATATACTTTATCATTATTGTATAATACCTGTACCATATATAATATTTATTATACAATTTATCTATAGGCCTATGTTATTTAGGGCAGAAATGTATCAGTAAAGACTGGTTCAGTAAAATCGGTTCATTGTGCTATTGCCGAAAGCTTTTGCTATGCTAACTGATCGGTGAATCGGAGAGCCATCCCGATTGTGTCGGGGACAACAACAGCGACAGTGTGGCAATTTTATGGAAACCAGCTTTGGCTGATGAAAACCCAAGGACAGTTAGAAATACTTTATATTATGTAAAATACTGTACAAATAGGCCTACTGATTTCTGATTAATAACGTCTCGTTTATTGTATGATATAGGCCAATGATAATAATAATAATAATTATTATACGAACACATGTGGATACTTTCTCATGTATTAGGTCTATATTATAATGAATATATGCAATAAAAATGTTCCGAAATATTCAACAGTTTGCAGAAATGTATTTTTTTTATCTACTATAAATTGAAGCATACGTGATAGAAATGAATTGGTTACCACAACGCCATACCTGTACAGCATTAACATGTTATAAAATTAGGCAAAATTAATATAATCTATAGCTTTTATTATCGTTTTTCAAAATGTTCATTAACTCATGAATATATTATCTGTTCAATCTATATCGTATATCACAATGATAAATATCAGCCATAATAAAAAATATTGTTATAGCACTTCATATTTCGTTACTTCATCATAGTATTTCCGAAAAAAACAGTACCGTACCTCACCAACTATTCTGAACTTAAGTGACGCTATAGAGCTAAATATTTGAAATAGCCATCCATAGGGTAACCTATACATATTTTTTCTATTACTGTTATTATTACTAATGTTAACACTGTACTGTATTATTATAATTATTATTATTATTATTATTATTATTATTATTATTATTATTATTATTAGGCCTATTAATATAAAATTATTATGTTTCATTGAGGTACTAAATCGTAATATGTCATGAGAGTATTGCAGAATCCTGTGGCTTAATGTCCACTGTCAATCTTGTACATCAGAATAATAATAACAATGTTTTTATTATTATTATTATTATATTATTATTATTAATAGTAATAATAATGATAATAATTACAATATTATTATTATTATTATTAATATTATTATTATCATTATTATTATTATATTTATTCTATTATGTTTTTATTAAGGTGCTAAATTTTAATATATAATGACAGTATTTCAGAATCCTGTGGCTTAATGTCCACTTTGATGAAATGCGTCATACAGCGATAATGATCACTACGGGAGTTGAACCGAGTCGGCCGTAGATCCGAGGCCGCATCCTGCATATACCATGATTGTTCGCCTGTAATTTCTCTATGGGCTGCTAATCTATGCACAGTGCAGACTGTGTATTGAGTAGAAAGATACAGGCAGAGACCTATCTTTAGCGTAAAATTGTCAGACCTCGCATTAATAACTTTCAAAAACTATTCGATTTGAATTCATATTTATGGAGTGCAGTTGGATGCTTAATTTGGTCGTTAGAAACAGGCGAACACCTCATTATCTAGTGGACCACCCGTGGCTATAATTGAAATATTTACACATAATGCAACGAATTACGTAAATCGATTGATCTCAAGTCATACGTATATTACAATGATATCAACAAGTATTCAATTTAAAACAGAGTTAATGATTGTGTGGATAATAGATAAACGCCATGCAACAGCCTGTCGGGTAACAAAACGCTTTTCTTGTTACTCATGCGTTAGCGGCTGATTATTCCAGAGTGTTGACGGGTTTTTAAACATATTATAGGTAACATGTTGCGGGCCTTTTGTTCTGTACTGCAATTTAAATTACTCTAGTGTCTATTGAGAATAAGGCGGAATTCATTACTTATTGATAGCCATAGAACCAGGGAATTCGCTCATCTTCAATAGATCTGTCAGTAAAAAACTGTGAAAGGGTAAAATTCTGCGGTCTGTTTTTCATCAGCTTTAATTCAATCAAATCGAATAGAATACCTGAATATTTGTATTTGTTCTGAATGCTTGATATATTCTGTTAAAGCGTGCGCAAAGGTGGTGTGTTCAATTAAATTTACAAATGAATGCATGTATATAACTCGCTGTGTCTATATACAGTTAATATAATACACACAATTTAATGATGGGTTATAAAAAGACATAGAAAATTAATTTTGTAACTTATAATAGACCTATTAAAATATATAATGCATGTCAGTACATCGACTATAAACCTAAATAATTATATTATTGTGTCACTTCATTAGCCTTGCTTTGGGAGGTTGGCATAAGCATATAATGATAGTGTATATATACTGTCTCTTATACACATCTAGATGTGTATAAGAGACAGATATAGGCCAAGGATCCGTCTGCAGATATTGGGATTCCTTCCAGTGGATGCTTAGTTTATTTTGTCATTCTGATCGGATTTTCTCTACTGTTCCGTTTTAATTATATATATAAATTAGATTTGTAGCGTAGCACCGTACACACAATGTAAGCAAATATATAAGTGATAATAACAGTTATAACATAAGATGTTATAACCGTATCAAGCACCTTTTTTCAATTGAATGAAAAAGGTGTTTCTAGTGGGAGGTCCATCATTAGGCTAAGTGGCATTAGCACAAAACAAAACCGTCATATTCTTTTTTGCTTTTTTGCCGTATGCTATCCACACTTTTAACTTTAGAGTGATATAAGCGCAGATATAACTCGGTATATTTGATGCCATTTATCATTTTCGTTTCGACTGAGATGTGCAGGCGACCACTAGCTTTTTCTATTTCTGTCTGTTTGCTGTTAGTTTTATAATGCCTTCTGGTGCTAGTCCATCAATTTTGAGTTTCAGCACTCTGTTATTGCTGTTTGTTTATTGTGTTTAGGGCCTACGGTACTACGGAACAAACCTATTTTGAATATTGTATCATCCTTGTCGTCATCACCGTCATCATCATCATCACCATTATCATCACCACCATCCTCCTACTCTTCATCATCTTTCTCATCATCAAACATTTTGTCTTTGAATAATACTATTATATGGGTCATACTCCAATAGTATAATCGATTATAAAAAATGAGTTACTTACTAAAAAAAAAAAAACACCTTTTCAATATCGTGACGAATACTACGAATACCGCAGTATTAATTTACTCACACATTCTTTTCTCTGGCCAACTTGGTTGGTCACATAGTTTACAATATGCCTTTAAACTTTACTAATACATCACACGAACTTGTATACTGTATTCGACTTTGTTTCTTGACTTGAATAAATTTCAGTTTCGTAAATTCTGTCAGGGGTAGTGGACCAATCATTTGACCTGTCTCATGCATTATTCTGTCTCTTATACACATCTAGATGTGTATAAGAGACAGCCATTGGGGAGAAAAGGGACAACTCGTCTGGGTGAAAAAAAAATTGTATGTATCTTCTACATATTAGTAGACTCTAAAAATCGATTAAGCCTTTGAAACCCCAAATTATGAAAATTTTTGGGGCTTCGCCCCCTGGACGACTTTCGGAACCTTTTAATCGAAACTCGACCACGCCCCTCGTCGGGGCATGGCCCCCCCCACCCAGTCGGTGACCCCCGTCGGGAAAATCCTGGCGCCACCCCTGATTTCTGTGCGTGTGTATTTTGTTGGAGTGCACATATTTACGGATACGTTGTTACTGTTTGTCGGAAAGAATTGATTGTAATAAACATTTTCGTTCAATACATTGTGGTCGTACGTTGTAAGGGCAAAACTTGGTAAAACTATTTGAAACATATGCTCCTCAATGAGGGTCATATACCAAAAGCAACATTTTCTATTCTTTAATATAACTACTGTAATCTAAAAATTATATAAAAATTGAATTTCTTTGTAGTAGATTCAAAGAGAATCTTTATTTTTTATTTCTCTCTTTCTCTATTTATTTATATACATATGTCGTTCATAAAACATTCATTTGAAAAGAAAAAAAATATTGCTTGTATACACGCTTATGGACAAATTTTCAGTCCTCTTAACACGAACCCCAGCCCTCCCAAAATGACATCACAAAACATAAACTAGAATATACGGTAAGTCAATAAATAATAGTCTGATATGATTAATTACGGTATAGTTCAGAAAAGGACGGGAAAGTCGGAATCGAATGAATTGGATTCAGAATAAATGATATCTCAACCTCTCTTGTCTCTGGTCTGATCTAGCAAACTGCATTTATCACTTCACTGGTTATCAAGAAGATACATGGGTCTATGTTGTTGATAGAAAATTAAGTTAATAGCATTTAGAAAGAAATGAAAAGTTTATTGCTCGTATACACGTCTGTGTTAGATAAATCTGCTCTGTTAACACGAAGCCTCTAAATGACGTCACAAAACAGAAACTAGACTAAATAATAATCAAAAATAGTTAGAAAAGGACGGGCAAATGCAGAATAGGATCTTTTAAAAAATAAATACTCGCCAGTAAAATTATCTATTAAATTGGCTGGTAAGATCTATGTATATATACACTATATATTATTAGTTGTATGGTTCGTGGCTTGGAACGTTATTTGAGGCAAATGGGATACAGTCGCTGATACTGGGAGCTTCGTTGCTGATGAGGCTAGGGCTAGGACATGGGCTGCTCATCGGGCTGTCTGGTTCCCGTTCACTGTCGGAGTTGTGGTAGGGTTCGCTGTGATCGTCTGTCTCCGTCTTTACGTCACTTAAATCTGGATTCGGATTGGACTTGTTTGGTAGAGTTGACTCACGTGATCCACCAGACGACAGTAGCTCTCTTTCTTTTGAATTCCTCCATTTCATACGACGATTTTGAAACCAAATTTTCACCTAGAAAATAAGATGTTTATTTTCTTGTTAATGAAATGCAAATTTTCATAGACATATTCATTAACCATAATAATCCATTAGTTATTCGTGTATTCAACAATATGCTGCATAAAAACAATTTTTAAATTTTTTTCTACGTAATGCAAATATTTTTTGAAATAGTTAAATTAGAGATAAAATTGTATAATTACACAATAAAAATTAAAATATTAGGCCTAATTGTTATACGCATGCAAAAAGTACAACAGTGTGCAATCTAGTGGACCAATCATTTGACCTGTCTCATGCATTATTATTGTTCGAGAAACAATAGCACTATTATAGCGTGGGTATGATACGCGTAAATACTTCACCAGAACACGAATCAAACCCGGCTGCCTAGACGCTTGTTATTAAATCCGCCAATAAAGGGTGCCGAAGTAATTAATTAAGATCATATTGCAAAATGAAATTTACAAATACAAAGTAGCAGACGATTGTAAGCTAATTCGAGTATCATACATATTATATAACACGCCAATTAACAATAACAATTAAAATAATGAGCGTATATTCCTGCATGAGCCCACAGAACATTGGTTTCTGTTGGGAATCGATTACATATTTTGGATTAAGCCATTTCATTAAAACCGCAAAATGTATCCATCCAACTGTTATGAGGTACACACGGATTTCAGATTAATCCTTTATGTTGTTGGCGCAGAGGTGTATAACAAATTACTAGGCGATGAAAATAAAATTCATTATAATAGGCCTAAATATAATAATACTAATACGTGCACAATAATGATAAGAAAAAATAATAAAACAACAACATTAGGCCGATTTATTATTAATAGGGCTAATAATAAAAACGATAATAAATTAACAAAATATTGACATTGATAAAAAAAAAATACTACATAGGCTTATACTTTATTTGAATTCATTGGGAATGCATTCTCATATTTAGGGTTTTATTTCTTGAATTAATTGTTAATATTGTACGTAGAGATAAGACAAATGATACGAAAACACAGCATGTATGCTTACTTGTGAGTCTTTTAGGCCCAATTTGCCGGCCAATTTCTTCCTATCTGGTTTGCTGATGTATTTCTGCTGTTGGAACTTTTTCTCTAAGCCCTTCCTTTGCGCGTCTGAGAACACTGCTCTCCGTAGCATACCTCGCCTCGGTTTACCTCTATTTGGGCCTGGCCAAGGGAATGCACTCGGTACTGGGATTACAGAATTGCCACTTACTGAAAAAAATATACAAAATGAACCGTTATAAGTGCGTTAAATGATGTTATTCTGTTCTAGAGTTAATTTATTAGATGTAATTTTAAGAAAGTATTAAAAAACCAGTAGGCTTAGGTCTATTGTATTGTTAGTCTTTTTCATTTAATCTCTCACACCTCAAAATGGCCTTGGCCTTTGCTTTATTCCAATTTAGAATATGAAAGAGATTAATATTATTATTGTTATCTTAATTTGAAAGCTATAAATACAAAAACACCATAGCCATACTCGCGTGCATACAGGCGGTACAAATGACCTTGGCAGGTCAAAATGTATTTCTATTGGATAGGAGTTCAATCGTCATATCAGAGAGGATTGCTATTGTATGGTTATGCCAACACTGACTGAGTGATAGGCCTCTGTATACGGATTCTAATTCGCATAAAAGTTTCTCGATATATACCGTCGCTGGTGGCGCTCTCCAAAATTAGCTAATACTAGGAAAACCTATAATTAGAGACTTGTGGCAAGTCTATATATTTACCTACGGTAGGCCTGAATCTTACGGATTTATGGGATGTACGTGTGTAACTAACTGTGGCCTTCTTGTATGTTATTAAATGTTAGTAGGCCTATAATCTGTCTCTTATACACATCTAGATGTGTATAAGAGACAGATATATCACTGATCAAGCCAGGTGTCAGTCAGAAATATGTATAATTGGTGTGAACCCCGTGACACCAGCCCCACTTGTTCTAGCACTTGTCGATCAATGAAAGTCACTGCAAACAAATCGCAATTCCTAAGCCTCATTGCATGTTTCCAGGGCTTGATACCTTTATTCATAACATGTAGTATGTTAAGTGCTGAACAAAAGGAACACGCCAGTCGAAGGAAACAAAATACACGGCCTAGGTTTGTTTAAACGAACTGTCTTTGTTGTGTGCGTAATACAACGCTAATGATCTTGTAGTTTGTGAAAACTTTTTTCATGTAGAATTGGAATAGTCTCAGATGGATTTAAGCTAACATTGACATTACCGTGTAGTATTTTGATTACCTGTCAATATAACACGAATGTTTGTAGCTTATGTTGGAATGTTGTTCATGTAACTTTAGTTCTATTGAAACTAAAAGTAGGCGTATACGTCTAGTAACACGCTATCTAGACGGAGTGATTGTTCTCTATTTGAACAACAGGTAAATCACTTGCAGTCTCCTATGGAAACGTATTTCCTCTGAGGTTCTTTAAACCGATTTTGTTTTTCAACAAAACTTTACAGAATGACACTGTAAACATTAAAATTGAATGTCAATAATTGTAATGATATTTCTGGTATCTCTTCATTATTATTACTATTATTGATATAAGAATAATAATAATAATAATAACAACAAAGATAATGATAATGATAATAATAATAATAATAATAACGATAATGATAATAATGATGATAATAATAATAATAATAGTAATAATGATAATAAACTTATAATTACCATTACAGTATTACTATATTATTACTATTGATATTATTATTATTATTACTGTACTATAATAATAATAATAATAATAATAATAATAATAATTATTATTATTATTATGATTATTATTATTATTATTATTATTATCAATCTGGATTTTTTTTTTAAATGTGGATATTAAAAATGTAACTTATTATTATCATTGGATAGAGAAATTAAAAAGATATAATAAAGATAAAATATCCACATAGGCCTACCTGAGAAAAACGGTGATCTTGTCAGTCCATGTAATGAGCTATCGTATATACTTCGGGCTAAGGAACTAAACGCGACCGCATTTAACTGAGGAGGTGAAAGCGCGTGTGCTTCTCCCGGTGAAATACTGAAACTTTTATAGTTAGGATGGCTGTGACTACCTGTTGATATTGCTTTTTTCGTTTCTGAAAGAAAAAGTTTGATTGAAGGTAAATCAACTTGGTTCCATGCATTTGGAGTAAAACAACTACGTGTCCTATTTGCAAAACTTTCTGCTTGCAATTCCAGGGTCTACGTTATTTGTCCGACAGAACATTTATAGTCATGATCAGTTTAAAGATTGGAATCAAGTCACTTGATTCCAACCTAACTGATCATGACTATAAATAAACTTGAAGTGTCAAATTCAATGATATGTGTCGCCATTTTATTATAATATATATGTAATCCTCGTACATCCTTAATGTTCATTTGAAATATTGAACTTTAAATCTAAAAGCATCAATAATCATCACTGATTCTGTTTTCCTGTATAAGAAATGTTATTAAATAAATGAATAAATAATTTACTGTCCTAATTTCAAAATGACGCAAATCTGTTATTACAATATTTTTTATTGATATAATTAAATTAACCTAGTACTCGCTGATTAGAAAGCTACGAACATCTTAACATTTATTGCTAGCCAAGTGTTGTTCTATGCAAATTATACCGAGCGGTATCGTATTGATTATGCATCTGTTAATTAAAAATAAAGTTTGTTTTTTTTTTTGCTTATAATAAAAGCTAATAATTCTAATGTTTTTATTTTTCCTTTTACGTTTAATAACTTAGGTCTGATGTGGTTGTCTTTTTCATACTTAATATGATATGCATTATAGGCCTATCATGACGTGGTAATATACGGAGATGTAATTGGCAATGATAAAATAATAATAATCACGTAAGACACTAAACTTACCGCCGGCTGAATGGCTTGGAATGTGAGATGTAAGAATCGAGTTGACTCCAAATTTCAGTGATTGTTCATGTTTTACCCTCGAATCACACGTGTGCGAATCACGCAAGCAATTGCACGTGGAACATGAGACCGGGTGTGTGGGAATCGGCCTCGGTAGTTTGTTGGATGATTTTTCTGCTAAAATGTCTTTAATTAGAAACGATGTGTTCGTAGGGACTGCTGCCTGAATATGGGGATTCCCGATGGCGATCACACGCGGATGAAATATACTGCGATACATCGGAGAAGGTGTTAATACATTTGGAAACATTATTTATCACTTTTTCCTCTAAATTTAGATATACACTGATCAGAATTTAATAATGCAACTCGAATATGACGAGGAATAATCCCAGCATTAGATAAATAGTTCCACCTCAATTCTTTGAAGAAAAAAGCAATACTCTGAAAACAACTTGAGTTCCGAAATCAGTAGGTGAGTTAAAAATGATCGTGTCCAGCGAATGAATGAATCACGACTGACGGTAAACACTCGATTACGTGGGACTTATCTCGAGCTGTCTGGTCTACCTTTTATGGTACTAACTGCAGTGAGTGACAGGGTAAACAAAGAGTTGATTAGCCTGGGAAATTGTCTGATTGCCTTTTAAAAAGGGGCGGGGCTAAAGGGTGCGTCAGATTTGTTTGCATTTATCCAGGAAAACACTTTCCTTTTTCCAAAACACTCATCGCATAAAGCTAAACTCTTGAGATGTAAATCACGTGGTCTAAGTTTTAATTATCTACCAACTTTTTGACGATTAAGAATAATGATTATTATTCGTTTCTTAGTTTGGTATACAACGCGGTTCGAAATTAATAGAGCATATAACCAAATACCATACGATTCGTTTGTCACAATAAAACGCCATAGAAATTAATTCAATATTTAATTGATTTTTTACTAGCAAATAAATCCAGAATGGCATATACTAATCACATTCAGTTAATCAATTCACAATAGAGCATAACCGGACCCCCTAACGCCTTTGATATTTATCAATAATTTTTATCGAATTGGCAATACTAGCAGTAATTGAATCAGGAATTAACTACAATATTCCTAATCATCTAAAATGATGTTAATAAACACGTATAATTTAGTAATTTATTTCAATTTAACATTGATATTAGTACCATATTTTTTAATGAGTTCGTATTCCTAAGACAACTAATAATATATTGGTTAGGTAATAATAATTTTAATGAATTGTTTAACATTTATATTTAAGTGTTTGAATACTTGATTAAATATCAAGCATTACTACAATAATATATTGACATTAATTAAAATATAAGTATAATTATTATTATATTTGTTACGGTATTATTAATACTGTTAGGCCTATAATCTTACGATAATAATTAATAAATATTAAAGTTAACGTTAATGATGATATCGTATCTTATCGAATAATTTCATAAAAAAATGTTATTACTTGCTTAAATTTTATGAATATACCAACCAATGCTAACTTAAATGATAATATTTCGATATGTGTCAGGGCAAAACATCACTCCTATAATGGTAATAGTAAGCCTAATGATAATTGTAATTGTAGTTATACACTAATAAGGATTAAAATAAGAATGGTAATAATGGTAATGATAGGGATATTGTCACAGTTAGGCCAGGCACATACTGCGCCGACTGTCGTCGCCCGACGCGAGTTCACCGAGTACACAACAGACGAGTGCAGACCCGGCCGCGCAACGGACCAGACTGCACCGAAAATCAGCATACGGCGTTGCGTTGTCAAGCACTCAGCGAGTGGTGATAGAATCGTGGCCGGCGTTAAACATAGGTCTATTATGACAAATAATAACCTCAAATATCCTTATATAAATAAAATTATAATCACCAAAAATATTGTGATATATATAAAATATTAGTAGGCCTATAATAATGATATCTATCGCTGCCATTATCGTGAATAAAATATGCCGAGCAACGAATATTCCATAAGGTGGTTTAATTCATTACAAAAATTAACGAATTATTCAGCTTGTCACCTGTTTTTCGATATTTTTTCACAAGGAACAGATTCAATGATATTGCCATATTATCATAACTATCATTACCATTAAAATATTAAATACAACGATGCCTCATCGTAATAATAATTGTTTCATATAAACGCATATTACCCATTGTTATCTCAGGCATTGATATATTCATAATTTTATCATAAATTATAAGAGGTTGATTCTTATTCTGAATTTATTCATTGTTTATTATTGCCGTATTTACCACCTATATGAATAGCCTTCTGATTTATTGATGCGCGCTATCGACATAGCCTATTATTTACAATAATTTTTGGATTCTTTATTCAACGAAATTAATTGAAATACAGGATAATCTCAAGTAATATCTATCTAAATCCTTACTGGAAATTACAATCACTTATAAAATGTTTAACGTATAAAAACGGTAAAAGTAATCCTACATTATTCAATGCTTATCAAATTTATAATTATGGCGTCAACACGTGTTTGAGTTTGTCTCCCTCTAGAGACCAACTTTTAAAAAAAATGAATCTGGTTATGTTCAACGTCTGCGAAGTTCGTACATACATTGTAGATTTTATAGTATCTACCTTATGGCAGATGGTCATTTAATAGATTTAGACATTTAAGTATTGTGAATAAACGCATTGGAAGTGAACAACAGTATTTTCTTGATGGTGGGAATTAAAAACCACCAAACCCACATGATCACTCACTTTGCCCGAGTCTATTTGTACAGTTAATATTCCTTCAGGATTTGTTATTGCATTCTGTGAAATTGATTTAATAAAGTCGTCATCATCGTCAGCATCTTCATCATCATGTCAACGTGATCATTATCGTTATTGTTATTGTTTATTTTTGTGATACTCCTTCATGATTTGTTACATGCATTCTGTGAAATTGATTAAATGAAATCGTCATCATCATTGTCAACGAGATCATATCGTTATTGTTATTGTTTATTTTTGGTGCTTACTATTAGCGACATTAATAAGTATAATAATATTTATTTATATAGCGCATTTTCAGGTATATTTTTGTTCCACGCGCTTTACATAAAGAGATGAATACAATATGCAACATTTTGCAACGAACAGGCCTATGGTATTTGTTAAAAAAATATTATCTCATTAATATAAAAATAGACATTGAAACCAACATCATGCATGAGAAAATTTTCAACTCGATCATTATAGCACGATGAAATACAAAATGAAAATATGCAATGTTAACTTATGTATAATAATATTAAGCTAGTAGAATACAACAATTTATTATTGACAATGGTACATATCGTAATAAAACTATTATAAAATATAATCACTTATTATTAACATCATTATACTTATCCTTATCCTTATCTTTATTATAGAATTAGAGCCTGACAATGTATCCGACAGTAATAATGTTGCTAGCTTTGGTTGCAAGCAAAGATTTTATAAATATAGTTCTCCACAAGTTATTACGACGATGAGGGCGTCCTTTATTTCAGAACACGTAACTAGCTTGGTCTTCCCAAGGAGGAAATTCCTCCATGGTCTTCCACAGCGGTCTAAAGTGAACATAATGGTTTTTCTTAAACATTTATATCCATTGATTCGACGGCCCAGGGTTTAAGTCAATTACAAGGGATACGAATACGAATAAGAGTTTTTTATTCATCAGTATTAAAACGATAACATAATTCTGCCAACATCTCGAGAAATAGGCCACATACCGTACTAGTAATACGGTAGGTCCTATTATTAGCATTTTCATCATCACCGCCACCGTCATAGTCGCCGTCGTCATCGTCGTCATCATCATCATCGTCGTCATAATCGTCATCGTCGCCATAATCATCATCATCTAAGGCTTTTTGTCGAGAATAAAAACAAAATACAAATTAGAAAACAAATGAAAGTGTCTTGAGAGAATTTCCAAACAGAGCTTAATGTTCGACTATTTTCTGGGCATTATTCCGTAACTATGCCCCCATAAAAAATATTGATTCTTCGAATTTAGACGACTATTGCGAACATTGTTTAAAACAGTTTTAAGAATTATGAAAGAGACTCCATTAAGTGACTTGTAAATATGCAATAATATTATTAAAACGATTCTCTATTTGCTGGAAGCCATTTGACGAGAGAGTGAAATTATTCAGTGTCTATCCTTAAATCTAACACTATTAGATAAAGGCCAGTTTGCAAACCGTGGCAAAACCGGCTGATGGTAAAAGAGTTTGGGAGAAAATGTGAGATCAATGTAACACTTAAGATGCGAGAGAATTACAGATCGGTCGGCACGATTACAAGTGTCTTGGTTAATGAGTCTAAATATTATCATGATGGCGAAAATTAACGGTCTGACAATTAATAATATTTATTTGAGAAAACATAGTCATATTTGTGTCGAAGTTTGAGCCTTGCGGTTCTTTGGTATAATACAGTTGTTGCTATTTTAGATTGTTATCAAATTGAATTCAAATATCAATTGAAGATCGTAGTCAATGTTAACTTTTAATCCCTAAATTTTCTGATTATTCGTACGTTTCTGTTTTAATTTTAGCGGTGCGTTTTATTTATTTAAACCAAATGTAACGAGAGTGTTTGCGAATCGATGTCTGTGTACTTAGGTCCTATCAATAACATATTTTCTATACATCTCCATGTTTGGTTAATTAAATTTGGAAAAAAAATCGCTATTATTATTAGGAAAACAGTTGGTGCATTAAAGCGGTTGGCTCTATAGGCCCTATACTTCCCTATACTTTATCTCCACAGTCACAGGTGTAAATTGTTACCGGATAGGACACATCAATGGCAACAGTATAAGAATATTTTGTTGAAGTGAAAGTTGTACAATGTGTACGATTGTTACTGTTTCCAATCCAATAATTAAGCAAGAAAATGTAGACGTTAAAGTAATCAATTATATAGTGCGTGATCATTGAAGTTTGAGTGAACCGTATTTGACTGAGGACGGCACGTGGTTGTGTGCCGACATCTAGGGTTTGAAATAGAACGAGAAGGCGGGCTAGAGAATAATTAAAATATTTATGATAGTAACGAAAATAACGTTCTTGTTTGTATTTGATTCTACTCGATTAAACGTGATAGTAAAAATGTGTGAAGATATGGCGCAGGCTTAACGAATATTTACGACAACATGTCTGAGTGCGACGTGTCGAACCTGCTTCGTCACACAATGTTTGTCGAAAAGAGCGCACACCCAAAGACAGATCGACTGCGTCTGATTATCCAGACGGGCGATACTTAACAGCGAATGTCAGTTTTGTTATCATTTACTACTTATTTGCCTTTAAAAAAAATGTTGATTAACAGTGAGATTTGAGAAGGGCGACTGACTTTACACATTTTGAATGCAAAATCTGTCGATTTTTGGACGGCGTCACACACCTGCTATACACCAGCGATTTATATGTATTTGATTTCGACGCACTTGTAATATTCATATTTGTACATCTGCCAGTTGTAAGTCAGTTAGGTTTATTATTTAAATACAAGTTATAATTGGAATTACTCAATTAAATGTAATGAACGTGCCGTCGGCGTTGAGATGCAGTGTCGTTTTAACCAATCAAAACACGTTTAAGAACTCAATTTTGAGACGTCAGTGGTAACTGTCAGTAGACTAACATTGTAGCTTTGTCAAATATTATTTCTTATGTATATTTTTTAAATACCCGCATGTCGTAAAGGCAGCTGTGGTCTTTGATATGCCTGTCGTAAACAAAGGAGTACGTAGCATCATCAGGCTTCACTCTAAGTTCTCATCATTTCCACAAAAGCCCAAGAAATCGTAGACAGCTGTAGATGGCAAAACGCGGGCGGCTTCGTGCAAATAGACACTAAACCTCAGACCTGTCTTTATATTATCTCTCATTTATAACTCACACAGCCTGATTTAAGATCTTAGTTGACACGCGTTTACTTGTCTGTCAGAGGAAACGCAATACCTCATTCTCGGCGAGACCAAGTCATTCGCGCTAATTGTCGAGCGGGGGTTTTCTCTACCGGCGATAAAGACGTTTGTCAAGAAGTCTTTTTTCAGAACCTTTTGTATACATTCATTGACTTTGTAGGTACATGATTTCTGTTACACTATTCCGCTGTTCGATTGTAACCGGAAACTACAAGAAAATTAATAAAAACAAAAAGTTAAAACATACAATACTATTATAGATTTAATTCTAGAAGTTGCTCCATATTAAATTATTTTAATATTTCGAACTAGGCCTAGATAGATTTAACATGATAATATTACGCATAAGCATGCAGAAAAATGAACAAAAACGGCCCGCAAGTAATACTTTATACACTAAATACACACAAATTCAACTTTTGTGCTCAACCTGTTAACGCAAAAAAACTTTTAAAAAGTTTTCAGTCAATGCATGTGCGCAGCCGCAGTGGTGTCGTTGAGATGTTAATTAGATTTTACACTCTTTTGTGTTGATCACGTTGAGCGTGTTGCAATGCGGACGTCGGAAGAACAGTGTGTAGGCCTGTACAGCGTAATTTAGATACTAAATCGTATTTAAATGTGGATAATGCAATTGGAATGCTAAGTAATAGAACTGCTTAAACAAATAAATAACTTGATTTAACCAATGATAATGTTGTGATATTTAACTGTATGTAGGCCAGGACGTAATTTTAAATTAAGTTGAGCATGTTTGATTATATTATAGAGGTGATTCCGGTTTATGGCCTCATGCGTTTACAATTACCGAACAAATACGGTACATATCTGAGAAAGTTTTGCCGAGGATTGGACATTTGAACTGCTTTGGTCCCTGCGTCCATTTCTGAATCAGTGATAGGTTATACCAACATTCATAAATGTGCTTTATACAAGCCTACCGTCTGCAGTAAAATACAGAAAATGTAAAAAAAGCAACCATCAACAATTCAATCAAAACATTTAAGTGTTCACTTAGAGTCTCGGTGGCGCCTTTCAAGATGGTCGTGCGACAATATTCATTATCTCAGTGTTTTGTACTTGTATTGTGTGTCTATGTACTTTACATAACTACTTTGGGGGTTGGGGATGTAGGTTAGTTATGCAGATGATAGCCATGGTTGCAGACTATAAATAATTTTGGATGGTACGATTTCTTCGGTATGATACGCACCAAGGATAACCCACAAAATCATAAAACGTATTTCCATTGTTGTCCTTCTCGTGATGAATTGAGATGTACACTGGGCAACGATCCCCTGTTATTCTTCCGAAGTGTGTAGGCCTACTGCATTCTTTACATGGACAATTTTGGACACGGGACCAACGACTCAAAGGCCTCATCCGAAAGGCGATGCGCTTTTGAAACTTGGGTTTCAGCCCGGGAGAGCAGCAATGGGAATTGAATCAAGAGATCCTCACACACACACAGTGGCTGCCACCGGCTCATAGCCGACTGAGCTACCTGCTCTCACGATTCTCTTGCCATTTTAATGGATGCAGAGCGAGATACGGTCAACGTAGAGAATGCCCATAAATATCAACAGTCGATTAAACTTAATTACGAAATCATTATGTATTGTAGACTTATCTTTAACGCTTATAAAAAATTGTAATTAGTTAACATTTGTGTACAAAAATATGTGTCGACCTATAACCTTACCTAAAAGTGCGACAAAACAACACATATTTATGCGGGATTTAGGAACCCCAACTTTGTTATATGCACTGTAAATAAAGTTTATAACTATGGTGGTTAT